TTGTTGTGCTGCCCCCAAGTGGCCCATGGTTGGGATTTTCACTAGAATATAAAATACAATTCTGTGGATTTGAACCAAGAACATAGAGGTAGATGCACATAAAACTAGTAGTAAAATTTCCTGGTAAAACTAAAGTATTACCAGAAAATGACATGCGACACATCGGTATAAAGACAGTATTATGTGAAGTGTCTCAATAAACCTTATAAAAATAAGCACTTGACTGCTGTGGTCAGCCTGTCTGAGAAGAGAGGGCTTCTGCTGCTATGTAGGTAACACTAACACTCCTCCACAGGGGATGTGGTCTCACTGATTTTCTCTCTTTCTCTCCCCCCTGCTGGTTTAATTATTGCAACCCCAAGGATTATTTGTGTGGTAGTGGAAAAAATTACACCCAGCAGGGAGCTGGAACAAGATTACACCCTGACAGAGTTCCCCAAAATCAGTCTGTGTGAAGTGTGTGTTTAGATGCAATGTAATGAACTTTTCTGATCACTTTGCAGAGTATGACTCACCACCTAAAGTCCTCTTAAATGTGTGACATGTCAGACGGACTTCTCAGCGCAGCTATTTCTCAGCTGTCATCATATGCATTAACCAATAAAGCACATTTATCTTATGCCACCAGGCCACATGAAAGAGATTTCTCATACTGACTTTGAATTCAGCTCTTGATGCAGTCACAAGTTCTCCTATATTAGCATAAACATCACCGAAGGCATTTCATCCACAGATGTCAATGAGATGGTACTCAGCCCATCTACTGAAAGGTTTCTAGTGTCCCGGCAAAGTCTCACTGAAGTGTAACTTCACCCTCCGATTCTGCTAGCTCCCTCCATCTCAGCAAATTAAAAAAATGCATCAGAGACATACAAAGGGCGGTGAGTTTAAGGGGCTGTTACCTCGACACCAACCGAGTGAGTGAAAGACTGACGGTCGCCCCCCCTCGTGGCCCAATTGTTGAAAAACGCGTGCTAAAGTGCCCTCTTGGGAGCCAAAACACGTGCTCAAGTGCCCTCTTGGGAAACAAAAGAACACAACTAATTATTTATCTCCTATGTTTATATTGTCTATTTTGGTGTCTTTGTAATCCTAATAATGAAAGATAATCCATATAATAATAAGTGTTAGTGAAATGATAGAGTTTGCCCAAATAATTGAGACTAAATTGGTGATTTTTTCTCTCACTATTGGGTTGTTGATACAAATACAAGTTATCTTCTCATTTTTATTCTTGAGATTTTCCACATTTGATTTTAAATCTTCTTACACGTGTAGACCAGTCTAGACCTTTGAGTAAATGTACCATAGTGCCATCTAAACTAAAACTAGATTGAAATATTGTCTTGTGCGATTTTGTCTGTAGATTATCTACCAGACATTAATGTCTCCTTGCGTGCCCAGATTAAACACCCCTTTTGTAACTTTAAAGATGTCGAGTGGGGAAATCTACGGAGTTGGAGGTGTTTACGCTTGCAGCTAGTAGTCCGCCTTCTTTTGCTGAGTTGGTTGGATGTTAGTTGGTTGTTATTTTTTGGGTTGTGTTTTTTGTCTCTAGGTATTTTCAGGTTTTATATTTTTGTTATCTATTTTAGGAGGAGGTGTTCAGTGCACGAAGTTCACTGTGGGTCTTCTTGTGGAAGATTTCTTACCGCGGAGGGAGGAGAGGGTGGTCTGGTGTGGTTTTATGGTTTAGTGCTTCCTGTGTCTGTCTTTTGTCCTTTTCTCTTTTTATTCAGTTTTGGCTTTTTGACCTGTTATTTTTTTTAGGATGGGCTTGGTGGATGTAGGGCATTATGCTTTCAGTTTTTTTTATTTTACTTTTGTATTTGCCGTGGTTGTCATGTTGGTTGTGGTGGATTATTTTTCATGATCTGTCGTTTTCATCGTTTTATATCTTGTTGTTTGTTTTTTGTTGTGTACTTGTGAGGTCATTATTTGCAGTTTTCTTGTTACTATTTGCTGTACGTATGTGCATTGTTTTCGGTGTTTCTGGTGCTGGAATTCTTTTCATGCGACGTGCTGCGGATGTTCCAGTCACTGATTTTGCCCTGTTCTGTTTGGCTTTTTTTCTTGTCCTTTGTTTGTCATGTCTTTTTAGCAGCGCTTGCGAATTAGTGCTGTTTTCTAGCTTACGCACTTGTGAGCATTGTAGTGCCTGTTTTGTCTGGGTTGCGTTGTTATCTTTAGTGGCGAGTTCCTTCATACTGCGGGCGCTGCAATGGGTGGAATTTTGGCAAGTTCTCTATGCTGGTACGGTTTGCTTGTCGTTGTGTGCAGGTTGTTCTTTGGGCTTGGTGTCCCATTTTGCTTCGTTTGCCTGATGTCTTGTTGTTTATTTCTTGCTGTTTCTTTTTTTTTCTCTTTACGATCAGTATAGCTTTGGATGGATGTCTTTGGAGTGATGTTTTGGTCTGCTGCTTCTCCTCCGAGTTGTGGTTCAGTTACTGTTGTGTCAGATTGGCGTTGTCGACGCTGTTCCATCCTGTGGCGCAGTTGTTTCACTTTTTTCTGCTGATGTCGCCTGTCGTTGGCTTGGCTGGTCGCGGGTTTTGCCGTGTGCTTGGTGCGCGGGCTGTGTTGGGTCTGTGCCTGGTTCGTTACTTCTTGTTTGAGGAGTTGTCATTTTTTTTTGGGTCACGTTTCTTTCTCTTGATTTTTTTTTTCTTATTTCTCTGTTGTATGTCAGCATGGTTCTTTGGCGTTTCTTGGTACCTTGTGTTTTTTTGTGGCTTTCTTCCGATTGCGCTTTAGCCTGTTTTTTGGTTTTTTTTTCTTTCATCTTGATGTTTCTCTTGTATTGTTCCTTTTGGGTTGGCTGCTCTGTTTGTTTGAGTTTTTTGCTTTCTTTGCTTTGTTTATGGTTGTTTTTCGGTTACTGTTTTTTTTCTGTTATTTTGTCATTTCGTCTGTTCTTCGTTTTCCGGGGGAGTCTGGGCAGGGATTGGCCTTATAATGTTCTTTTTATTTCTCATCATTTTTTTGTCTTTCTCTCGATTAAGCTGTTTCATTGGACAGACTCGTCGCTGTGTTGCTTTTAGTGTTTTAGGGTGCTTTACGTATGTTTTGACATTCCATAGTGTGCATGTCTTCGTAATCTGGTTTCTTCTATGTTTAATGTGTGGGGTTTATTGTCACTGGTTCTCGTGCTTGCTACGGTATTTTTTTGCTGCCTCTGATCGATTCTCGTTTCATTTCTATTTTTTTTTTGACCTCTGGCATACTTTCTTTCTGAAGGGGTTTGGAGGCGCATTCTGACCGTGGCTGCGCGTGTGACTGGTATGGACTGGCTTGCCTTGCCGGGACTGGATAACGGCGGGGGGGTCGGCAGGTCGGGGGGTTTGTGGAGGGCAGGTTGTTGTCGGGATGGTGGAGGCGTTGTGCTTGCGCGCTGTACGGCTAGTGCTGGCTTTTAAGCGGTATCGGCGTTGGGGTTGGGAGGGCCGGTCATGATTTTGGTTACTTTCTACTTTGTGCGATGGCTGATAGGTTTTTTGGTAACTCTTTGAGCGGGGATCAGTTTAGGCTTATTCTATGGATTTTCAGACGTTGTTAGTGAGGTGTTTCTTCTGGTCATTGACTGTGTTCTTGTGTAGGCTGCCTTCGCAGCATTACTGGTGGCGAGGTTTTTTTTGTTTTGTGTTTTTTTTTTTTTGCTGATGTTGCTTTGTTTGGACCAGCTGCAGGGTAACTTTGGTGCTCTATGTTGTGTCGGAGGTCATGATTCTGTTATGTCGTTTAGATTGCTGGCGTCGGTTCTTTCTGTTGTGCTTTATTTTTTGTTAGGTTACATATTGTTGGTATAAGTTGTTTGGATGTATCTTAATTGGTGGGCAATTTGGGGTTGTCGATCTGTGTTTTTGTGTTTTCTGTGTTCTTGGTTTTCTTTCGTGTATCTCATTCCATTGTTTATGTTGTTTAGCGTTGCTTGACTGGTTCTTGAAGTATCAACGTATATATCACTTATGTATTTAGGGAGGATGTGTTTATTTTTTTTGTTGTTTGTGTTTTTTTTTTGTTATTTTTTTATAAGAAAGGAGAGAAAGGAAAAAAAAAGGGAGGAGAAAGGGAAAAAAAAGGGAGAAGGGAAAAAAAAAATGGAGGAGAAAGGAAAAAAAAAAAGGGAGGAAGAAAGGAAAAAAAAAGGAATTATATAAATGTAAGAAAAAAAATTATTAAAATGTAAAAAAAAAAAAATTTATTATAAATGTAAAAAAAAAAAAATTTATTAAAAATGTAAAAAAAGAAAAATTTATTATGAAATGTAAAAAAAATTATTATAAATGTAAAAATTATTATTAATGTAAAAAAATTTATTTATAAATTGTAAAATTTATTATAAATGAAAAAAGAATTATTATAAGGATGTAAAAAAAAATTTATTATAAGTGTAGAAAAAAAAGATTTATTAAATGTAAAAAGAAAATTTATATATGTAAAAAAAAAAATTTAATATAATGTAAAAAAAAATTTATTATACAATGTAAAAAAGAAAATTTATTATAAATGTAAAAAATTTTATTATAATGTAAAAAAATTTATTAAAATGTAAAAAAAAAAAAATTATTATAACTGTAAAAAAAAAAAAATTTATTAAAAATGAAAAAAAAATTTATTATAAAGTAAAAACAAAATTTTTAATTATAACTGTAAAAAAAAAAATTTAATTATCAATGTAACAAACAAAAATT